TATATATATATATATAAAAATACAAAAACAAGGAACATGAATAAACGTGTTTTTCATTGATAAAATATAAATAAGAAATTAAAAAATTCATTTTATAAACACAAAATATTTAAGAGTTGTAGAAAACTTCTGTGCTAGTTTATATATATAGATATCGTTGATTTGCAAATAAAACTCATTTCATCATATTTACAAGATTACTAAATTGCTAATTTTAATGTAGGAGAATAATCTATGCCTGTCACACATCCGCCGTTACATAAAAATATGCTTTCGGTGGTTAAATATAAGTGTATTTGAACACACTTATTAAATTCGCACCTATCATTTTGTATAATGGTTAGATACTTTACGTCGGAAGGCAATCTATTAACTATTTTCTCGCTCTTCATAAAATAGTTTTTACATACATTACTCGCTGTTACTTTATAACATAAGTAAAATAGATGAGCTAAAATAGATTTCATAGTGCGAAAAATGGTAGAAAAATATAAAGAAAATATTAGGTTTTTTTTTAAACGGACGACGTAAAGTATGCATACAGGCAGGCTGAATTAGGAAAGGCACAGATACCAGTGTTATATCTAAATGCGTAAGGCGATTTCCTGGTTTGTGATTTCAGGAAGACATTTTTTTTCTTTTCAATAATTATGTAATCATACATACATATACATACGTATATATGTATATAAATTTGCGACAATATACGATATATATACATATATATCATATGTATGCTCGATGACGCACAATACTTGACATGTAAAAGTTCTTAAAAAAGTAATTTACACTCAATCTTGAGAACCACAGAATAACGGAGTCTGGAGTTTTTCTTTTCTCTTTTAAGATTATATGCATCACACAATATCCATTGAGCAGTCGACTAATAATAAATAAATTTTTGCTTCTTTGCCCAGCTCGATTCAATATGCGTTAGGTACGCATTGGGCATGTTGTATCATGACACTGTCGGCACATCGGTTGTTTAAAACTCGTGTCTGTATGGCCTTTCGCTTGTCGGAACTCGAGAGATGAAGCGAAGCTTATATGGTTCATGGCCTGCAGCATATAATATATATACCGGTGTGAATTGATAATAGAAATGTCAGGTATTCATTCTGATGCACCAATGGCTATGGATGCCGTCAATTCGCACATTTCTGTACAATTATTCTGTACTATATTGAAATGATGAGTACAGTGAC